AGCACTGGGAAAGGGGTGGGGTGGTAAGGAACAAAGAAGGCTTCCCTCCCTGAGCAGCAGTGAGCCCCTTCCCCTGCCCACCAGGCTGTAGCCCTTACCACTGCCCCACCTGAGCCCCACCAAGAGGGACTTGAGCCCTGCTATGCTTGGTTCCCATGAAGAAAATTCATGGTGTGGAGGAATTATGCAACTGAGATACATAGGTTCCAGATTTTAGGGGGCATGGGGACTGGTAAGGTAGGCTCTACCTAACATTCAGTTTCTGCTTGACCTTAAGAGGGATGCAAATCCACAACCCCACTTTACAAGGGGACACCTAACCATCAAGCCTGTGGCATCCTTTAAGCCACAGTGTTGTGCTGGGACAGAGGGCAATGAAGGGTGACATGCAATGCACAACTCCTGTACATATGGCAGCTGAACATGGATCTGACTGTCCAGGCTTACTGTGCCCTGTCCCTGCTTCATTGCTCTGCCTCTACTTCACACTCCACGCGTTGCTGACCAGCCACGAAATGTGTTGATTTTTTTTGGACCAAAGCCCTGTGCAGTTAACAAAAGGGCATACTTTAGGTCAAAATGTCTCAAAGACTCCACTTTTATCTCTTTTCACTCTGCCAACACACAATTATAACCAGCTCTGCACTCCCAGGGCAGGTTACCAGTGCTGTCTGTTGTCTTTTCTCCAGACCCCAAGCTCTGTGTAAGTAGAGCTTCCAGCTGTGACTTTACACTCAGGCTTCCAGTTCCAGCAGCCCTGGCAGGACTGACTCTAGCTTTCACCAGCACCACATGCAGCTCATCCCACTCAGCAGTGGGATTCCTCAGTCCCTGTGTGATCCCAGCTTCCAGGTGTGGGTGCCACTGAACGACTTATGAAAAAGTAGAGATTCATGCAACCACACCATCATTTCCTTCAGCTTACTAAAAACAGTGGCCTCATGCCACTCATGCAGTTTCTGTTCCCGTTTGAGGAATCCTTATAGCAGATAACTGTGGTGTCTGTCTGGCCCCAGTTGCTTCCCTCCAGGGCAACGCAGCACTACTCCCCTCAGGAGGCCAAAACGTCTCACCTCAAAACAGCTTCTGCAGTTGAAGTAACCCATACTGAAAGGAGACTTTGCACAACAGTCACAAAAGAACCACCTTGGCAGACTTATTTTTTTTAAATTCTTTCCTGCTGGCACACATCAAACCCCACTCCACCCTGCAAAGGCACAAGAGCACCATAGTGCTCTCCCTCCAGCATGATACAGATGTGCTGCTGTTACTTATCACTGCTGCTGTGTACATCTAAGTCTCTGTTTCAGACCAAGAAAACTAATGTTAAGTTTCTAAGAGAATTTAATCCATGGGATTTGTGGCTTTTTTCAGGAGAAAATACTTAGCTCTGGTATTAACACAGCAGCAGGAAAATTGTGAAAGGCTAACAGAATTCAGTAGACTTGAAGATTGTTGGAAACAGATTTAATAACAGGCACCAACAGGGTGTTTTGATTGCAAATACCACATCAGTTTGTGTACAACTTGCTGCAGTCTCAAGTACCAAAATCTGTTTGCACCTGAAACTCCCCTGCTCTGGTCATGCTTGCCCTGTCAGTTCAACAGTGGCACCATCTGATGAAGAGCCAGGAAACTCCTGTATAAAGGGGCTTCAGAAAGCTGTGAAATGTGAAGCTTCATGCAATTCATGCATCATCTCAAACATGCAAGCATGATGCTCACATGTAACCAAGTGAGACAGCCACCCTTTTTAAACTTTTGCATTTTGATCCTGTTGTATGACTACTTGAACTTTGATTTGATTTTCCAATACAGAAATAAGACATTCTCCTTTGTAAGTTTAATACACACGTCGCACATATACTTTTCTCCTTGAGCAAAAAAAGTCAGCTTAAAAGACAAGTTCCCTGTGATGGGAGGCTACAGAAAACTCACATTTTGTACTGAAGGTCCCTCTTACTAAACTGCATAGAGAGCAGAGTTCAAACTCTCAGCTCCAATCTTGCTATCTTGCCATCAGTCTGCAGGAACCAAGCTACAATACATATGTGGTGAGACAGATTACTTGGGTTCACATCCTTAAAGAGTAGCTTTTGAAGATGTGAAAGCTAAATTCCTTTTGAAAACCTGTCCTGTTCATAAGTTTTGCAGCACCAAATCTGCTCAGTTTTCTTATCTTTACTTCAGCAGATGTGCTCGTCTTGGAAGGCAAGAGAGCCTGCAAAATTAAAATAGTTGTTTCCGAAAGGGCAGAATACAACCAACATTTGCATGTGATCTAGAACAGAGAAAGAATGCAACTGCATGAAGTTTTCATAGCAGCAAAGCCTGGCTGCAGAAGGCTGGGAATAGATTTAATGATTGAACAAGAGTAGAGAAAGAGGAGTACGTCCAAGAAAACCTGAGTAAGTTAGGTACTTGACCCCCCCCTAAAGAAATTTTCTTTAAAAAAAATTCAAGCCAGGAATTCCAGTATACCTGCTGGAACTCCCCTGAAGAAATTAAATTTTATGACTCACCAGGAATGTAACCCTCATTATCAGATGAGGCTCAGCCTGCTCCTGGGTATTCACTCTGTATTGGTGCTCAGAGTGGACTGGGGTTTATTCAGTGACATGTGAAGGACTGGTAGAATAATGTCACGTATAGGAAGTTTGTCAACCGTGTGCCACACTAGAAATGAAACTAATCCCTTGCAGGCTCACAAAGTACTTGCAACACATTGTACATTCATTCCATAATAACAAGTCAGTCTGAGTGAGACAGGTTGTTCCCTACCAAATGTAATGTTTCTACATGGTGGCCAAAACCACCTGAGCTAAATTTGTTTCACCGTATGCATGGCAATGAGACATGAAAAATTCTTCACATAGAAGTACCTGAAAACTGAACTGCAGGTTCCCACAAATTCCCCATAATTACCTCCTCAAAACAGTTGCTTGAAGAATACCTCTTTCTTAAGGTGACAGCCAAACAAGAAAGGGATATGGACATAAAGGGACACAGACAAACCATGTTTCAAGTGTAAAGAAAATACCATTATTCTTCCAGTTAGAAACTAGTAACCAGGCAAGATGACTGATGAGTAAAATGTCCCTTGAAACTGGAAGAAAGGATATAAGTAGTTGTAGAAAAGATGCAACAGTGAGAATAGTCTTGTTCCATACATCAACCCTGAAGACAGCATTACCTTCAAACAAATACCAGAACACTGTAGGCACACACACATGCTGTGATCTTGTCTTGTGGACAAGATAGTAGCATTGCAGACAGGCTTTCCCAACAGAGTAGAGGAAAGATCCATGCTCCTGGCTCTTGTGAGCTTTGGGGAACATGCTCCATGTCAGAAGACACAGTGAAAGCTAAACATTCAGACCTCAGATCATTTGGATAGATAATGGTACAAATTTTTACATGATCCTGTAACATTGGCAATACCTTTGTAATACTGGTTTGATGCTGCCCAGCAGGTGGGGCAGGTGACCAGCAGAAGAATCCGTGCTGACAAATTGCATGGCATCTAATTCTCCTGAGGTGAACACTTTGCCAGAGAACTACCCTACTCCAGAGAAGCCTTCTGGGCCAAAAGTTCACCTGCTTACAGGGAGATGGGATCCCTACACCAACTCTGCTGTGGGACATCTGCTTTCCCACTGTGGATAATATATTCAGAGGAAGAGATCCTGGCTTCACAGAAACAGGGAACAGCTTTGCAATCATCACAGTTGTGCATAGGATTTTGTCTTGAAGGTGTGGCTGGGGCATGGAATGTGATGACACCAAACATCCCAAAGTACAAGCCTGCTCCTGGAGGGTGTAAGCAACACAGCAGTGTACCATGAAGTGAAACAGAGCACTGTCATGGTGCAGCTACATCACAAGACTTTTCATGAAGGCAGACAAAAGATGCCAAAATACATATCAAGGTGGTCAAAGGATGAACAGTACTCAAACAATTAAGTATTTCTATTATAACATTTTATAAAAGTGTATTTTGTGCAAAGCAGTCTTAAAGTGGTACATAACTCAGGTGCATTAGTTTCAGAGTGCAGCTCTGTACCCCACTGTATTAGAGGACAAATGACAAGCCACATATCTAAAGACTAACAATTTTGAATTTTTATACAATGCACATAGTGTCATCTTCCACTATCATACGGTGTTATGTACTTCAGAAATGAACCAAACATAACCTCCAAATGCACTGTGGCAAACTGTACTGGAGATACTGTGTTCCAACTCAAAGAAGGTGAAAGAATCTTGCTGTGAAATAACAAATCTGATCATCTTCTTGGTAAGACATCTCCCAGACTCCAAATCAAAGACTTGGCAGAAAGGTTCTTGAAAAGAAAGTTACGTTGTAAGCCTGGCACAGACTTATACCCTTTAAATTCATCTTCTTTGGTGACAGGCATAAAACTTTAAATTCTGGGTTTGTTTTTTAAAGGAAGGCAACCATAATGGATTTTTAAATATCAATTCTGATTATCTGCTGCCCCATCTCCCTAGCTTATCTGACCATGTTTCGCTACAGGATTAATCATCAGTGCAAATTTCTTACCTGCAGATGTGAATAGTCACAGTATCAGGGTTAAAATCCACCACTACCTCACAGTTCGTATCACCCTCATGTCATCTGTCTGTATGTATGTTGTAAGTAAACATGACCTGATCTAGCCCACACTTGGATCAGGCAAGGCTTCCACAGGGGAAAAAGGATTGTTCTAACAGGATGGGCAAACATTCACTAAGTCCTCCTAGTGGGTCCAATTAGTACATCCAGTTACATGTCCTTGCTACCTATAAATATGAAGCATTGTTCCTCATACAGCAGATGCCATGGGCTGCTGCAAGAGACTTATGCCAGAATATTCTATCACTCTACAAATTCCCTGACTACCAGCACCTGGAGAGGTGAAGATATTTAAGCTAAATCAGAATAGAGTAGAAAAGGAGTTGTATATGAGCCATTACTGTTCCAGCACCAGAAAGAGGCCTTCTTGCTGTTCACCTTCTTTTTATTTTATGTTTGTCACAGCTGAATTTTCCAAATGCCCTTGTGGTTAACCTTCTTTACAAAGTATAAATACCATTCCATTCTTATACAAAAGAAATACAGCTGTTTGTTATACACACACAGGTTGACAGCAATTCCTTGAAAGAGCAGTGCAACATGAAATTACAGAGCCAACGCCCACGGAGCACCTCTTTAGCCGCAGGCCAGGAAGTCTCTGCTGAGAAAGGCAATCTTTTAAGGTAAAATGCTTTAACTGAGTTCATAACATTTGAATGGGAAAATCAGAACTGTGTAACATGCTGTCATACCACAAATTAGTCATACTCTGGTTTACAAACTGTAGTTGCTGCATTTCACTGAAGCCATCCAATGCAGAATGGAATTGCTTAAATACATCTCACTGGCATAAGGAAGTAGCCTTGCTGGATGACACGTTATCAACTGAATTTTCAGACGTGGAATATACTTGAGAGTAAAATGAAGACACAAGTGAGATCACATAAGGTTTTGGCAAGTATTTTTATGTTAGCTTTTTTTGTTTATGGCTTGTTATGGCTTTTTTGGTTTCTTTAGGAAATTCCTGCACAGCAAAAGGAATGAAGAATTCCAGAAGAGAGTTGACCTCCTTCAGTTCCAGACTGTATTCTGCTGCTATTTTCTCTGCAGTCCATATGTGAGGTTGAAGTTTATGATTATTAAGAAGTGTCAGAGCCTCCACAAGGGAAATTTTGCCTTTGGGAACTTTCTTAACATCTAGACCTTCCAAGTGGCCTAATTTTGTAAGTCTCTTTTCCTCTTGTTTACTTGGAAGATGTTCACCACCTCCATCTTTTACCTAATTGAAGGAAGGAAAACAAAAAGAGCTCAACAGCAGTTCTGTATGCATACTGCAGCAGCTAAGCTGCTTTCCTAAATACTTCTTCTGTTTAGCTTTTCCCGTTAGCTTTCCCCAGTTTTTAAAAAAAAGCTTAGCCAGCCTAGCTTCTTCCATACCATTCTTCATAGAGCGTCAACTCCCCAGCAAATGCTGAAAAGCTCCTATTCACTGCACTCTAAGTGTTGTATTGGCTTGGCAGCCCTTCATACAGGGCAAACTACAGATTCTGGTAGGCAAATGTAAATCCAGATAATCTAATATTCAGTACTGATTCATTGGAAAGAACAGAAAAATTATACAAAAAATCTATATCCTTCTGATACTACTGGAAAACTTTTTCATGTAGTCTCTCTCCTCTTCCTTTTGTTTTCAAATTTTAGTTTTCCTACTAAAAGAAATTCCTTCTTTTGCTCTGTCTAGAGAACAAGCTTTCCTGCTATTTTGCAGCATCATATGGAGTTTAATTGCCATGACTACTGCAACATGTAGACACACAAAGTCTCTTCTATAAGGTCCCTTCATATTTCCAAATAATATCCAAAACAGCTTTCACTTCCTCATATTTCCTTATATTAACATTTAATCAGTGAATCACACTGAAAAAAAAAAAGGCACAATTAAACCTTTCTTCAATTTAGAAGTATTTATACAGTAATCAGAGCCCAGAACCACTGATTATTACACAGACACTCTGTATTAACTCAGATGCTGAGAAAACGGATACCACAGCACCTGTGTGTCTGTTTCTGAGCTACAAGGAATGTCTGGCCTGTACTGCACGTCTTTACTTTTTGCTAAAACTGTATTTGGATAATGAATGATTTTTCAGCTCTTAATTAGATCATCTGTCTCTGGGAGTCTGCCACTTCAGGGCTCCCAAGCTGGTGCTTTTCCACTTACCACAGACATACACAGAGGTGTGTACACACAATGCACAAAGTCATCATGATAACATCAGGAATGGGAGAAAGCTTTTGTACTGCTTTGCCCACAAGTCTCTGTTGAGCACTTCAGTTGTGCTCTAACAACTGCAAGCAGACACAGCACAAGGGCAAGTCTGTGGCAGCACACTCAGAGGAGGCATGGAATCAAACAAAGATTTGTTCCACTTTGGGCTTCTCCCTCAAATCTCTCTTGACAGGTTTATACACGAATATTGAAAGATACTGAAATAAGACTTCAGCACTTCAAGATTAGAGTCCTAACCTCTGTGATGGAAATTAAAGATAGAAATTTCTTGGAAATTTCAGGTAGAGACTGAAGAAATCTGTTTGCATTTTAAATATTTTTAGACTTGAATACCATGTAAGTAGCAAATTAGAGAGACTTAGGGATTTTGTTAAATGACTATAAAAATTTTGTTACTGAATAAAGCAGCTGGAATAAAGTGTGTGATAATGAAACAGGTAAAACTCACAAGCCATAGCACAATATGATGGAAAAGAGGACACTGAACCCCAGTTTGCATTTTACAAAGGAGCATGCTTTGCCTTTCAAGTTAAAGATTGCAGCCAGTGGCAATAAGGAAATTATGATCACACAACCCACAAGATTATGTAGAAAAAAAACCTAAGGCACCTCATGAGCTGGATAAAAAAAGTCTCTGCACTGTATAACATTTAATGGAGTTAAAGACTCCATTAAAGACTAAACATCTTTGTCCTCTACCACATCCCTGCTCCCCCAGCAGTCCCAGTCTTTTAACAACTCCACAAATTATCTCTGGCAAACTACTTTATCTTTGCAAAAGACTTGAGAAGTACCCTGCCTCATAGGAAGCAGAAACAGGAGTTTTGGTGAAAAACAATATAAGAGCAACACAATGTTAAAAAGGAAGACTATGTCAGCATTTACAAGCTTGTATAATTACAATCTGGGGTTTGAATTACAATTGAGTTTTTTTGAATTACAATTTAAAACCTGGGGTCAGACACAGTCAGTGTTATGGATGTATAGAAGAGTAATAAAACCACCACTTTTGTCTACTGAAGAAAGGTAGCTTTTATGCACAAAGAGCATTTTTCTTGACACAGCCTTTGTGCTGAGTTTGAAGACCACAAAGCTGATGTTGGTATGGCTCGTACAGAGATGCACTCACCCGCACCGGTGGATCTCTGGACTCGACATAAACATCTTTGAGCAAGGTGAGGAACCTATCGTCCTTTCTGAGAACTTCTTCTTTTATCTCTGGGCTATCTAAAGGCAGTGAGAAGGGAAGAAAAAGAAAAGATTGATCTGAGTCAAATCGTTTCCTTTTTGGTAGTCCTTCCCCAGCGGCACGGCATGGCTCCCGCAAATGCACGTATCTTCTTGAGAAGGTGTCATTGCTCCCACGGCCCTGACCTCAGCGACACGGCTTCACAGGGTGGGGCAGGGCCGGTCACCTGTCACAGCACAGGGGGACACAGCACCCCCACGCTCGGTGCTGCTCTGCAGCGCTGCCTCAGCAAACGCTCCGTGCTACACCGCTGCCACCACCGATCCCACCGCCTCCACCAGCTGTCCCCGGAACCAGCAGCGCCATCAACTGTCCCCAGGTCCTGACCCCATCAGCCACCTCCACCGACCGCCCCTCGCAGCCGTCACAGCAACCGCGCCATCACCCAGCCCAGCAGGCCACCTCCATCAGCCCCCTCACGCTGCTGCCCGCTGTAACCGCCGCGGCTCCCGGCATGCCCCGCGCGCCCCGCGCCGCTCTCAATGTCACCGGCCCCGCAGCAGGAGCCGGCGGGCGGGCCAGGCTGGCACTCACCGGCCATGGCGTCCAGCCGGGCGGTGCGGTGTCGCGGCGCGGGCGTCGGCTTCTCCTTGCTGATCTCGCGGCGGGCCCGGTTCTCCACGTTGAAATTCCGGAACACGCGGGTCACCCGCCCGCCCATCGCCGCCGCCAGCCGCGCCTGCGCACGGGGCACGCCGGGTAGGGGCGGTGTGCGGCGCCGGCGAGTGTACCGGAAGAAAATAAACCGAGTACCGGCGACAAACAAACAAACAAGCGAACGAGAATACGGACAAGGCGGTTCGCTTTGCACTTCACGGCGCCCCGGCGGCCTTTCCTCCTTGCCCTGGGCGCTGCCTCGGTCGCCGGCCGGGGCTGGCAGTGGTTGTGCCGCGGGTTTCCTAAAGGCGTGCGTGAGCGGAGCCGCCGGGCCGGGCCGGGCGGGTCCCGCCGGGAATGCTCGCAAAGCCGCCCGCTGCCCCGGAGTTTCCTTCCCAGCCGTGGCGGCTGGCGGCTGAGCCCCCAGACACGTCATGTCGTGACTGTGGCTGCTTATTTATCGGCGGGGATGGGCGCGGGCAGAAGCTGCAGCGAGGGACGATTCCCCAGTACTGCTGAGAATTCGTAGACTGCACAATGCTTTCAGAGCGCAGAGCCTCTTTTTTCAGCTCAACCAAATAACCTTTCTTTTGACTTCGCAAAAATTGCGAAAACTACTTGTAAGAAAATGTTGAGAAGGCCTTAAGCCGTGCATGATAAGAAAGGTAAATTTGTCGACAGAATCAAAATTGTTGAGATAGAATCAGCAGTTCATAGATTCAAGAAGTGTGAAAAGATACAGAATCCTCGGAGAAAGGAAGGCATAAACAGCAAGACTAAGAGCTACTGGCCTGATGCAAAAAGCAATAAAGCCTGATGGTTGACTACTTTATTCAGCCACGACTGATAAGGTGTCTTACCAACAGAGATTAATGACTCGTTCATTCCAGCTGCTGTGTGAATTAGCCAATAAGTAATTCCCTTACGGCTTTAAATTGTGTATGTGCTATGTGCAGAGTCTTAGTGCCTTCTGGGCCACTAGTTAGTTAATGGTAGTAGTTGCCTGCATGAAGGCACCTGGAGTGGGAGGGTTAATGAAGGACAGAGAAAAGACCGGACTTCTTGTGCTTTTTGGTGTTTTTTTTTTTGTTGTTTTTTTTTTTTTTTTTTTTTTTTTTCTTTTTTTTTTTTTTAAGGTGGAAAACACCTTTTTTTCTGCTGTTGCATCTATCTAGTTTTTCTTATTATTGTTGGCATACAAACCTAGGGACCTGGGGTTTCAGAACTTGGTCTCCTATTATTAGCGTTATGTATTAATAATAATTATGATGTGATAGTTGTCAAGGCTACAGTGTGCTTTAATGCTGGATTAATGAATGGCTGTGTTTTCCTTAGAGAGAAGCCAAATAGATTTAGAAAGGCAGTGGAGACAAAGTAGCATAAACATGGTTTGTGCTGGATTTCTGCTCTCTTTGGGAATCAGGAAGATGCAGTTTCTTCACTTATTTATTTTAAAGACTCTCACAGTCTGTAGGAGGATAGAAACATGTTTTTGTTCTCTGGTAATAAGCTTACTGACCCTGTCTTATTTTAGACATTGCATGTAAATGAATTAAGGAGACCAGTGATACAGTGATAATAGGGAGCTGCTAAAATCTGCTGAAGACAGACTGGTGACAAGTTTAATTAAATATCTATAGTCAATTGCTGACTAAACCTGTGTTCTTGAGTGCAGGATTTGCTACTTTTATAAGTGGTAAGTCTGTGTGATGTGGCTATAATGGAACAATCCACATGGAAGCCTTTGGTGGTTGTAGACCTTTCATAGGTACTTTAGATTTGAATTCTTACTGATCTGTCTGCAGATCAGCTATTGTGGCAAATTTGAAATAAAGTTTCTCCTTCAAAAGCTAAGATCTCCCAGGTTGTGGAATCAAACTCAGCACAGGGCTTCTGTCTTCATAAAGCCTGAATGTGATTAACACTGCTGTAATATGTACTGACAGCAAAATAAATTCACCAGAAAGCAGTCAGTTAAAAATAAAGAGTGATGTCATGCTCTGCCTGTCACTTCCTACGACTGAGGATGGCACAAGACTGTTCTTTTCATGTATAAAGATACATCAAAAGTTCAAGATTTTTATTCTGAAGAATCTTTCTTAGACTGTAGCAAGCAGAAGCACCAAGATTGAAAACAATCTTTTTAACATAATTTGTATTTTACCAATGTGACCATGTTGATATTAAATATCAGTAATCAAAAGGTTGGATTTTTTTTCCATATAAGGCATCTGCAAGTGAGATGATTAAAAAATGAATGTATGTGTACTCAGATAAGAGTTTCAAATGGGATGTACTTTTCTTGAACGAGGAGTCTGAATTTTTCCAGGGAATTAAAAAACAACAAAAGATCAGAAGAACAGAGACTACCAGCTGGATTCATACACACCTGTTCTCAACAGGTTCTCACAGCAGCTTGTTCTCAACACTGGACAGCACCAAACACATCAGAGAAAAATACTGTAACTCTCATGATGTATGTGTGCCATAGGCTGCCACACTAGATTTCCTTGTAATCCTTCCATACCTCTTAAGAGTGAAATTTCTAAAGCTACTCCATACCTGGAAAGTAAGAAGTATGTTTGTGACTGTTCTTTGAATCTTTTTCATTTTCCATCTCAGTTTTGATTATATGTTGTGTGTATTTTTTTCTTTTTCAGCTAGTTCTGTCACTGAGTGGAAAATTAAAAATTAATTTCTGTATTTAACTAGCATCAAAAGTCTGATTGACTTACTGAAAATTCCCTTTAGAGAAGGGAGAAAAGGAAAGTCTGTTGTTAATTTGTGTTACTGTGTGGTTCTACTAAAGTTTCTTTGCTGTCTTTACTACTCAGAAGTTCAGGAATCAGAATATGAGTCCAGACGGGCAGGTAATCTCAGTGAAACAAGAGTCTTTTTTTGGTAACAGGTGCTCAGCTGGAGAATTTTGGAGAGGAGGCAGGTGAGGTTTGCTTTGTGATTTGAGGCCTGGGAATGGCACAGCAGTTGACCGCAGAGGAAAATGAGGAATGCCCTTATACAGCAGCAGCACAGGTTTATGTTTGAGTCTGTCCACATTTTCTACCACTGAAACTGTTTTCCTATTCTTGTCTTTCTGTTGTTGTTTGTTCATAATTGATGTCAGTCTAAATGGATACTTGAGCAAATTCATGTATCATTAGGATTCAGGGAATTGAGTCTTCTATCCTGATTACTGGTTTACCAGTAAACACAATGAAAGCATTGATCCTTTTGTTCCTTATCTCATCAGTGTTAGGCAGAACCAGAGAACATAGCATTACCAAGAATTGATTATGAGCCAAGTAGAAATGACTGTCCTGCAACTTTGTAAAGATGAACTCAAGAGAGATGGACTTACTGATGGATCACTTTCACCTTTCAGTGATTTTTGGTTGTTCTGTTACTTAATTCAGATTATTTCTCTGTTGTTGGTTTCAACTGATCTATCTTTTACTGGCTTCTGAAGTATCTACAGAAGGATCTACATTGAAGGATTTTGCTTAATTCCAGTCTGTGATCAGAGTGTTCCTGAACAGTTGCATATTTTCAAGGCTAGGTGGCTGCAGTGCTTTATTTAAAGGAGTTTCTGTCAAGTCCTTATGTGGATGAAGTTTATGGCAAGTGCAGCAAGCTCAGTGTTACAGACTCATACACCAGCCCAGACAGTTCACTAGCTCCTTGTCAGATAAGACTAATTTCAAAGACATTTCATTTAAATTCTCCTGATGGACTGTGGCTTGATATACCTGACATCATCTTCCATATTTTCCGAGTCTGATTCTTGTTTTTCAATTAGCAGGTTACTTAGACTTGGAAATGCACAGTAGGAGCCAGCATATCTGAGAATGAGGCAGCCTGGAATTAATTAATTTAATCAGTTACACTTGCCTTTTTACTTCATTTTTACTCACAGTGTTCAGTACCCTGTGATCTCTTCTCAGTTGCAATAGGAGTTGAGACAACCGACAGCCCTATTATTTCTTGTAACCCTGGCTTCAGTTCATCCCTCTTGCCAGCATAAGGGTGTAGGAACACCTCCAGGGCAAACAGCATCACACAGATGGTCTGATTTAAGAAAGAGAAGAGCTCCCATAATTTTTCAAAGCTGTATCAATCACACAGGAGGAACAATAAAAAAAAAGCCTGGGATAGGAGGAGTATGAACACTGTGAACTGGTATTGCTGCCAGGTTGGTTGGTTGGTTGGCTGGTTTGTGAGTTTGCACTTTGCTCCCAGATTATTTCCCTGCAGCAGTGACAGAAAAAGCTGTACTAGCTCCAGTGAGTAGGAGGTGAACCAGCAGTGGGAAGAGACTGGATGGAATGGGGTGGTGGCTGCCTCATCTTGGCCTGGCTTTGCTGGTGCTCCAACATCACCCAAGACAAACAACATCCTTTGTACTGACTTGAGGCAGTAACAGTAGCCATGATTTTACTGCATTGTCACTGCAGTAGCCCTCTGATTGTCCAGAAGAGAGTTGGTGAATGGACTATTAGCTATCTGCTGGAGTCTCTTTTATGAAATATAACACATAAAAAAATAGCAAATATATAACCTAAGTGTGCTGGCAGGATGCTCTTCTACAATAGTGTAATATTTTTCCATCCCCAAAGGATATTTCTGTTCTCTCTATATGGTTTTAATTTATGATTATACATACATATTTATACAGGTGTGCTGCATTTTGGTATACATAACTTTATAATTTAGTTGTGTTATCTGTGACTTGATGTATCAAGGGATTGATTTTCCTTGCTTTTATAATTAGTTGCAGAACCAGTTTTATTTATTCATTTTACACTTTAATTGCATCCATCTGCAATTTACAAATTGGGTATTTGCAGGTGTGAATTACATGAAAAACTCAAGTCTTATATTTATCTGCGGGGAGCCAAATTTTGTGTAGAACAGAAAGCCAAAATGACCTCAGTGAACACTTCTAAAACCATTTTATATATATCTCAGTCCTAAAGAAGGCTTATATATAGATCTTAAGAAGCTGGAGAAGTTACAGTGTGGTTTAATAGCTCAGTGGCTTAATCAGTGTTATGCTGGGTAAGTAGCATTTGAGTCCATGTCCAGTACACTATACCTGTATTTTTTTAGATGCAGTAGCTAAAAATCTGCCTGACGCATGCAAAGGATTCTTTGCAGATATTTAGGGAGTACCATACTGAGATTACGTATCTTTCTTGGCAGCTTCCACAAGCAATTTCAAGTCCTCTAATTTCTAAAAAGCAAATATATCTACACTAATTCTGGAAGAGGATTCTATCAGGGGAAGATACCAGACTGCAGAGCAAAGAAAATGTGACCATAGGACTACAACATACAACCTTTAATTAAAGGCTTTGATGTAAAGATGAATGTGCAATATCACATTGCCAGAAGACTGGAGAAATACATTTAATTCATTTAGCATTTAGTCCAAGAAACAAATTAATATGCTGAGATGTGCAGTCACCAGTAGAGTAACAATATTAAAATCTGGCTTGATTTATGCACAATTTTTCCTTGAATTTCTGACTGAAATAACTTTATTCTAAACACTAAGTTTAGGA